CAAACACGAGCAAGTTGCGAACAGATTCGCCTGGATTCGTGCGCATTCGTGCAATGGGGATGCACCATTAGATTCATCTTTATTTCAATAAAAAACATTTCGCGAACGTTTCGAGACTTTTTTTGACTCGTCTTCGGGTGTATGCATACAAATTTGTATGCATAAAAATATTAATATTTTAAACAAAAAAACAATGGACAAAAACAATAAACACATATATTTATAATATTCATGTATATGTACACAAATATCGGAATGGCCGTTCAGTCGTTTGTTTCATTTAAATCTTGACGTTCGTTTCGTGTTTGTTTTCACAATCTAGTTAACCTCAATTTGTTATAAATGGCTATGTAGTTTGTGATTATAATAATCAATATTTTTCGAAATCTACATATTTCGAAAATAAAAAGTTTAAAGTCTTGCTGAAAGTCTTGGCACGCAAGTCTTGTTGTTATACTGTCAAAAATTCTTTGATATAAGATAAATTGTTGGTTACCGGCAAAATGGTTAATAAATTGTTTTACAACACAGTTTTAAGTCAATGTTTTTCGAATTGTGGAAAATATCTAATTACTGGTAATTTATATGGTGATATATCAATTTTTGAGTAAGTAATTATTTAACTCTTTTTTTTAAGGTTATGTTTACATCATTTATTAATTAAGTTTTTCCTTTCAGTCTAGATAATGTATTAAATCCTACAGATGCTATTATCATCAAAATACAGAAGCCAGTCTGTAATTTTTCAGCAAGTGCTAACTTTCCCGTTTGGAGCCTGGTTATGACAAACACCTTTCTAGTCGCAGGCTCTGTGAATGAAATATTTGGGTGGAATTTCAAATCCCTCTTGTCTTCTAATGTTACAAAACCAGCTTGGACGATAAAAACTTCATCGAATAGGTAATATAAATAATTATATTGAGTAATGTTTTATAAGAAATTATACATCATGTAAGTAGTACGATTTTTCAAATCATGGTTTTGCTTTTTTTTGTCTCTTAAATAAAAATTAAAATAATTTCAGTACCAATTAATCATAAGCTGCAATTAAATAATCCAGTGAATTTCAAAGTTTTTGTTTTAATTGTAATTCAATTGTTCCAAAGATTTTGTTTTAATTTAATTGCACTTAATATTAACAAATTATTGCACTTAATATAAACAATTATTACGCTAGGAAGAATGACTTAAGAATAACTATTCAAGAATATATGCACGAGAGGTTTCTTTCAATTCAAATTATATTCTAGAAAAGATGTATTTGACCAAGATAACCTTCTTCTGTTTGCTTCCTTTGCTAAACTTTAAAAGCGTTTTTTTCTTCTAAACTGTACATGATTTTCTAAAATGTACATGATTTTTTGAGCTCTACAGGGACGATTCACTTGAAATTTTCAGAGAATCTTCTTTATAGACTTCTCCCTAGTACTTATTAGCCTCATCCCCAATTTGAATTTCTACTATTTTTAAAAAATCGAGAATCTCAAGAAAGTGGTAAGACAATGGTCTTTTTTTTAAACATTTTGTCAAAAAGTTAACTACAGTAGAACTCCAATTATCAGAATTAATGGGCACCGGGACCCATTCGGATAATCAAATATTCGGATAATCGGAGTTTGTTTTTAAAATTGCCATTGGAGAGAAAAAAGTTACGTTTTGATATTGCACTATTTTTTTATTGAATAAATGAAAGAAACATGACATTTTCACATGTTTTAAATATAAATAAAATGTACTTATGTACAAGTTTAGAAATAAAAATCATTGATTTGCAAACATCTCCGTCAAATCAAAACAAACAATGTGCCTACACTGGCTTTGCTGGTGGAAGAATAATAGCGCACTTAGACTTTTTTTGGACAATTTTTTTTCTGAAAGTGATTCGGATAATCGGCGATTCGGATAATTGGAGTTCGGATAATTGGAGTTCGGATATTGGAGTTCTACTATAACTCAATCCATAGTATACCATAGTAACATCATTCTAGAAATCTAGATGAATAATCTTTTTGATGATCAAATCTTTTTTTATTTCGGATTACTAGGACGATTGCAAGCTCAGTTGCTGGTCTCATTTTTTGAAACCTCTCACTTCAAACGCTGCTAATTTTTAATTTTTAATTAATCAACTTTTTTTTTGTTTTAATTTTTTTCTATAACCTTGTAACCTTGATGAACAAATTATAAAAAAATAATAGTAAAAATTGATTGCCTTTTTAATGATGATTTAAAAATGACCTAAATTCTTTACACTAGAATACCCTCTTAAATAACCTAGCTCTATTGGAAAAATAATTTAACAATTATGCTTAACAATATATTTTTAAAACTGTATATAATGTGCCAGTTTTTAATAAAATTACATATATTTGATTTCTTGTTCTAGGAATAATGTGAGTACTGATGTTAATACAATATGGTATGATTCAATTAATGAAAGAATTCTTGCTGGGTGTAGCGATGGCATCATGTACTTGTACACACTAGAAGATGGCTCATTAGTTCGAAATTTTGAAGGACACAAAGATTATTTACATTGGATTGAAGGAGAGTAAGTGAGGAATTTGATTTTAATTTTATTTTATGTAATAGTTAATAACAATAAAAAAGATCACTTTGATTACCCAAACTCATTTACCAGAAAACTCCCCAGGGCCAGGTTGAAAAAGAAATTAATTTTTCATGTATTTTATCTGTTTCAAAATCAAGTCATTGGTGATTATGATTATGTATTTTTAAAGTGTATTTTATACTTTTTATATAAAATTTTGCTTATTCTTTTAGAATAGCTTAAATATTTTAATTGGTTTATTTAAGATAGGTATCGTATAATAAAATAAAATAATAGAATAAAGTTAATTTTTTCTTAGCTCATCCCAGATTGCATCAGCAAGTGAAGATGGTACGGTTAAAATGTGGGACTTGAATCAACAAAGTTTCACAAATGAATTGGCACCATATAAAGAAGAAAAACTTCAGAGACCTAAAATTGGCAAGTGGGTTGGTTGTGTTACTATAAATCAAGATTGGCTGGTATGTATTTTAATTAAAATTTATTTTCAATTTTGTTTTGCATATGAGTATTGTACAAAGTTGTACTTCTATATATTTTTTCTATACATATTGCAGTATATATTTAATAATTATTAAGTGTGATCACTAAATCAATCTTCAGTTTTTGTAGTTAACTGCGCCTGTTCAATTTTTCAATTATATATATATATATATATATATATATATATATATATATATTGCTATTGACTTTGCTATATCCGCTTGTCCAATTGTGTAGTGCTTGTAGTATGTGTATATTAATTGGTGCAAATACCCTGTTCCAGTGACATACAGTCAAAATTTTGTTTTCGACTTGTTTTTATATTAACAATCTATATCCATATATGTAATAAAACATTTTCAGAAATTTTATTATACCAAATATTATATCATGCAATTTTATGCCATAATTAATGCCCTGATCATATAATGAACATTCTAAAACAATGTGTAGGCTTTATTTTATGTATGGTTCATAAAGATATGTTTTGTTTGCGAATATATATATATATATATATATATATATATATATATATAAAATACAGTGGTACCTTAACTTAATAGCGACATACCAGAAGCTTTGAGCGAGTAACAGTTTTCTAAAAAAATGTTAATGGCAAAAAAGCAATGATTTTTTTTACCATAGAAACATTTTTCACTATTTTATGATAGTCAACTACCGAGTTGTTTTTTTTCCAACATGACTATTGTAAATTCATTAAATTTACTGAATGTCCTTTACTGGACAGTTGTAAATAAAAGAGTTAATAAAAAAAAAATTATTATAGTAAATTATTATAAAGTTAGCCATTTCAAATAAGCTGAGTTCATGTTTTTATTTTTTGGACATATATTGGGTTGTTTGGAAAGTAACTTCGTTTTTTATAGATTTTATGTATTGGCAGTTTTGATTGAACATCTTTTGTCATATTTCTGGTATTAGCATAATTCTAAGATCAAATTTGTTGGTCATTATTGGCAAAAAACTGGTTAAAGTGCTTTTTGACCTCCTCATTTGAGGTAAAGGTTTTACCGCCTAAAAAGACCGGAAACCAGGAACAAATAATGACCGGAACAAATAATGATCCAATGACGGCAGGTCTAGTCAATATGCTGAATGTGTCATTGGGTTCCATTCAAGCTACAAAAGCTTTTGGCGATTGACCAAACTTATGTGAGGTCATGCATCATCCTGATGCAGTACTATACCTAGCTTGTGGGATAATATATTCCTTATCTAGATTTAGTTTATCCAGCTGATGACATAAGGCACCTAAATTAACCGTTATGTTATCCTGGAAATACTGAAAAGTGAACAACTCTTTTAAAATCTTACCAAACATCAGCATCGCCCTTTTCTGGCAAATTTTAGCTTTGCACCTGTTTTGAGCAGGGTTTTTTTGTTTCATGGGCAATTTCATGTAGGCCATGAAATGTTAAATTCGATAATTTGTAACTCAATGGGTTCTCATGTATTGTTAATTGACAGTTTGCATCAACTAATTTTCGCGTCTTTATCAGCTTCAACCGTACTTCTTGGACTTGGTGCATCTTCTACATCAAAATACCAGGAATGAAATTTAGCAAAGCAATTTTGGCACTGTCCTACTATCAACACGCCATTTCTATACACATCGATCAATTTCATTTTGGCTCACACAGTATTTTTACCTTTTCTACAGCAAAAGAGTAAAATAAGTCGAAAATGCTTCTCAATTCTTTCCTTATTCAAAGTGGCATCATCCAAAAACTACTGCATGTAATTGATTAATTTTTTTTACACATATAAGTTTTCGTACCATATACTAACTATAGGGCTTAAGTGATGTTAGGTTCAAAAAAATATGGTTAAATTCTGGTGGTAATAAAACGAAGTGACTTTTCGAACAACCTTATACAACATATTATTTATTTACCATTCCAACGGAAAAGTACATGTCTTTTGATTTAAAGCGTGTAATTGTTGATAAATATGAGGATAGTGAGGATATATGAACTGAACACATTATAGATATGTACTTTATGACAAGGACCTTGCAATAATTTAAAAGCAGCTTTTTAAACTCCAAATGATAAAAATCACCCTGGAAAAGTTGCAACAGTTTGTTCATGGGAGTTGTTCAACCAAACATGTTTAACTCATTTCCAAATTTTCAGGAATGAACAAGAAAAAACAATAATTAAGTTAATAAATAGTAAATATATTTTTATATACAAAAAACTTAACAAAAACCAATCTGCTGGAACGAATTCATGGCAGTTCAATTTCTTTGAAAAAAATAAAATTGCTTCGTGATACGAGCGATTCGACATACGAACGTAGTTACAGAATGAATTAAACTCGTATGTTGGGGTACCATGGTATACACATACATATACAATTTTTGAAAATTATTTTTGGGAAAGATAGAAATGGTTTATAAGGAATTGGTTGCAAATTTAGAAGAGGCGTGCAAAAATGCATTATGCCACGCATGGTATTTGAATCTAGTTATTTTAACCATTTGTTTATTTTTAAAAGTTTTCAACATTAATTTCATTTAATATTTGAGGTGTGTGGCGGCGGACCAAAACTCTCCCTCTGGCATTTAAGATCTTTAGAAATGTCAACTGTATACGATTTACCTAATTGTGGAATACATGTAACGAGTTTTGTTGATGACCACATATTAGCCGCTGGTGGTTCTGGACATGTATACCAAATGACATATGATGGAACTCTTCTGAGTGATATTGCAACAACACCAACAGCTGTATACAGTGTGGTACACAGAAATATTCCAAAGAAAGTTATGTCGATTGCAGGATCTAGTAATATCTTAGACATATCTACCAGTTTCAGCTATAAAGATCAAGTGATAGCTTTCAAATAAAAGAAAACTGTGCCTAATGTAAATACTCTTTAAATATTAAAGTACCTTCATTTTATACTTAGTAGTAGATAATATTTTACCATGATTGATAATTATTATGAATGATTTCTAATTTATATAAATTATTTTTTATCATAGAAGGAAGGCATTTAGTATAATATTTATTGGCTGAAAAGATTATGGCCTAGTTAGTGAAATTATGCCCATTTTAAATATATCTCAATATTTCTTCTTTATTTCAAATATGCAAAACAAATTGAAGTCATACGTTAGGCGCTATAATAGCTTTACTAGGGGATTTTAGGAATAATTTGCATTTATGATTAAATATTTATTAAAAACACATCATGAATCAATGAATATTTGCTGACTACCAAATATGAGCTAGATTAATATTATTTGGTGCAAAAGCTTTTATAATTTGATAACACAAGTTTAAAAATTATACTTTTGTAGGGTAAATTAATATGAAAAATTTTAAATGAAGAAATTAAAAATATGGAAAGTGTTTTTTATGAGTATGGAAATTACTGACAAATTCCAAACTAATTTTATCACAAAAAAGTTTTCATTTCTTAAAATTTAAGTTTTTATGATAATGTATAGGTATCTTCAAAATCAAACTTCTTTGACAAATTGTTGACAATTCATTTATTTATATTTCTGTACAAAACTTCATTTTTTTAAATTTTTATTAATAAATATTTATTGAATACAATCTTGCCTTTGTATAAACTTGTTCATAAGGCTTTTAAACAATGACTATAGAAAATTCTTTACATAATATGAATTTGGATATGAGCTACAAATCCAAATAAATAATGATATAAACAAAAAGTAAAGTGGAATTAAGAACAATAAATATTGAGCAGAGTCATACCCGAAAATTGGGACAGATTTATTGACCACATTCAAATAGGTGGATTTATGTGTATATCCAAAATAATTAATGGCTAAACATTCATACAGCCCTTTATCCAGCAGCGTAGCGTGAGGAACAACAAATTTACTTATATAAGTATTATTATTTATTAATACTGCTTCCGTTGAGTTGCATACCTAAAATAAAAAAAAACATATTTATCTTATTCAACTAGATAATAATCTAGAGCAAATCTATATAATTACATCTAGTAGTTTAATTTTGAATTAGAATGCTAAAGTACTTAAAATTTAACTGAGAAATATTAAGGATAATACATTTCTAATACTAAAATCAATACTTTAGTTATTATCTAAGCATCTGATTATTTATAATTGAAAACGATTAAAATTTATAATTAGAGTTTTTGGAAATTCTTCATTAATTATACTTGCCTCAAACTCATCATTGGCCAATGTATTATCGTCTGATTTAATTGAGTACTTCAGCCACCAAATTGTTGTTAAATGTTTGCTTCTAAATTTACATTGTAGTTCTGCCTGTTGGATAAAAATATTGATGTCAGGAATTCAATCAGTTTCAAGAAGAAACTTTTAACTTTCAATATTATTCTATCATAATTAAATCATTTTGAAGAAATCATTGATGTACATGATACATTGAAAATTGGTATTGATATGCAGTACTGTTAATTTGCCATTAATCACATCAGAATCTCCATAAAAGCAATGATGGAACAAATTGTTTATCTTTGATGGAAAATTAAACTAAGAAACAAATTTTAAAATTATCATGGACTAGTAACATTATTAGCTATTCTAATATCAGTTACCTTTTCATCTGTGTAAATTGTCATTTTATTTGGTGGACTCCCTATAATCTGTGGTGGATTCTGTTCAAAATCTAAAAAAAATCTGTGTTGTAAACAAATTTCTTACAGACCTGAAGAATTATAATTTAGTAAATGTAATATACCAATTGGGACTAATTCATACACTTTCATCTTTTGAATTGTGTCAGTATCTTCATGAAGTGCAGAACATTGATACAAACCAGAATCATTCATCTGCAAATTCACTATATTTAATGTTATGCATGGTTCATTGCAGAAGACTCTTTTAGATATCTGTAAGCAAACAATTAGTTGAATGTATCAATAATGTTTATAATATTCATATTTCATTAGTTTAAAAAAAGTATCTACTGTTTCATTGTTTCCTCTTCCTATGATTATATAATCATCATCCATTACAAGTGCCCAGTCGATTGTATGTTTACAATTACTTTGGAAATAATCACCACATTGCTATAAAAAAATATTGAAAATTATATCGTTTTACACAAAATTATATCATTTATGATTTATGTCCCAACCTTGAATTTCCACTGAATTTTCATATTTTTGGAAGCTCCTGCAATTTGGCATGAAAGGCGAATGTCTTTTCCAATGGGCTTTTTTAATTGTTTTATGACATTCAAGTCCGGTATGTTTGTATTATATTCTATTAAATGGAATTGTAATAATTAGTAGTTTTGTATATATATATATATATATATATATATATATATATTAATATTTGTATGTATACTTACTGTATAAAAGCTCATCCATCGGTTGTGTTACAGATAAATAGCCAAATATTAAGATTGACACTATCAAAGGCTTCATGGTGTGATTAAATCATTCTGCAAAAGAAAGTTTATCTTCGTTAATTATCATTCATATTGATTATTTAATTTAACCGTCTCAGAAAGCTAGAATAAAGTAAAAAGTAACTAGTTGGTTTGGTATTTAGCCTTGAGGAAAGTTACATGAACTTCCCGATATGTGTAAATAATCAACTTAATCAAAAAAATGTGTAAATAATATACTTCATCAATCCTACCTTAAAAAAAACGATAATAATTTTAGCAAAGTTTGACGAATTTTTAAAATTAAACTACTTTCCGTATTATTACAGTAAGTTCTATGATGTATATATGACCATGATGTATATCGCTAAAAAAAGTTCCATGAAAATCGGCTTAAATTTTTTTTTAACAGTTCATTACAAGAAAACGGCTCGGTAGATTTTCACCTAAAATTAATCAGTACCATTCCCAACTAATATCTTTCGAACAGTTTTTGATTTTTTAAAATCGGTTCGGTAGCATGAGCTTAAATGTAGACGCTTTACCCTTTCGTTTAACGTTTAACACTTTCTTCCAAATTACAAAGAAACGTCTTGGCAGATCGTCGCACAAAACTGACAAACGATAGTCCTCACCGAAATACATCAAATGGCTTTTAAATTTTTAAAATCGGTTCAGGCGTTTTTGAGAAAACGTCGATCAAAAGTCTAATTTTGACAAATGCCAAAAAACGATACCAATTTTTGCAAACTTTGACATTTTTTTTAAAGCTGAACCAGTTGTCGTAGGGCCGTAATATTTTAGTATGATCTAGAAGACTATGGTATCTACCGTCAAAAAAATAATCATAAAAATCGTCGAATTTTTTTTTTTTTAAACTTTATTACAAGAAAACGGCCCGGCCGATCTCTACCAAAAACTAATCAGCACGATTCCCAACCAATACCTTTCGAACGGTTTTTGAATTTTCAAAATCGATTCAGAATTGCGGGCTAAAACGTAGACGAAAAATTTTTCACTTTTCTGCGATTTATAAAGAAACGGCTTGGTCGATCGTCGCACAAAATTGACAAACAATATTCCTCATCGAGGTACATCGAATGGCTTTTAAATTTTTGAAATCGGTCTAGCCGTTTTCGAGAAAACTCCGATTTACGGCAAAAAATCTGTTCACATACACGCACACACACACACACATACTTTTTCCAAATTTGGTCTCATTCGATTCAGAATGGCTTGAAACGTCGAGAAAACATAAAATTAGCAATTCGGATTTTTTGATGAAAACATAAACTTCTCCTTCGGGAAGTTAATTATAACTACACGATAATATGATGATTATTATACTTTGAAGTAGGAGAATGAAATCAAATCATCAAAGGATTTTCATAATGATCTAACATTATGAATTCAGGACTTTATTCTCAAGCACATCAGTAAATGATAATTATCAATATATCAATTTATTGGTTAAAAGTACAAGTGAATAAAAGTAACCAATGAATAAATTAATTTAAACTTTGAATACAATATCATCAACAATTTTAGGTACTTCGCGCAAGTTCGAGAAAAGTAGGTCCGGATTATTTTTATTTAAAAAATTAAGTACGTCCATCGTTTTATATTTATTTTTGCATTGTTACTTTTATTTTTTTTATTTTTCAATTACAATTAGAATGTTTCAAAATATATATAAAAATAATAGTGCGAGAGAAGTGAAAGTTCGTAATATGGAAATGGAAATATGGAGGGAAAGAAATTGATATTTAGGCATTTTACAATATTTTCAGACAATCTACAACAATTTCAAACAATCTACAACATCTTCAAACAATTTACATTGTTTTCAAACAACTGACAAGAATTTCAGGCAATTTAAGACATGTTTTAGAATAATATAATCTGAAATATTTTTCCCCATTATAGAACTTTCAAAAAACGAAACTTTGTTCGAAGTTTTACTTCAATGTGAGAAGTTTTACTTCAATAATAATAAGTTCTTTTATATTTAGACGTAATCAATAAGTCGAAAAACCAAAAAAGACTAGGATTGGATTATACCATGTTTTCTATAGAAAGTGTATAAATCTTCGAGATTGATTGTATTAATAAAATATAGACAAACTAATGGGGTTTATTGTTTTTATAATACCTAATTGTATACAGCATTCAAACAACACATCCTTATGCACTTAAAGTATTAGTATTTTTGATTCTCTAGAAATGGTTTAAAATATACCTTATTTAGCAAAACATCGTTTGCTGGGTCAGCTAGTATATATATATATATATATATATATATACATAGTTTTATTAAGAAAGTCCCTAAGTTGTGAAAATTCTACGGTCTACGTTCTGCTCAGGTATTCGATTTTATGTAAGAGGGCGTATTGCTGAGTTCACCCTTTTGATAAATGCCTTAGGAGACGCTCGGGGCAAAAGTGCAGTTGAAATTCATTCGAGATGTTAATTTGCATGACATGACAAGCAATTTAGAATTCCGCATATTTTTCTACATCGAGCAGTAATGGAATCATGCAAAATGCACCCCAACTCATAGTTCACTTTTGATGTAGGTTACTGTACGCGTAAGTTAACCCTAGTTGCGTTCACGAACCTTGACAAAT